AATAATAACAATAATAATAATAATAATAATAATAATAATAATAATAATAATAATATCAACACAAGTGATGTGAGTACAAACAACTATTATTTTTAATTTTAAACAGAAACTCGTTAAAGTCAATCAATTCCTCCTCATACTAAAGTCCCTCCAATGACAGGAGCAGGTGAAGACAATATGGGAACATGAGTTGGGTAGCCGTTATCAACATGAGGAGAGGACAAGTGGGTGGAGCTACGAGTGACGTGAGCATTGGTCTGAATACCAGGAGGGTACATGGGAGAGTGCTGCATACTGACACACCCAGTTCTCCCGGGATAAGAGGGTCTGTTACGAGGGATTGACTGACGAGGAGGAGGAGGAGGGAGACCAATGGGATCCTTCTCAGCATAAGGAGGAGGAGGAGAAGAAGGAGAGGCTAGTATTGGTTTAGAAGAGGAAGAGGAAGGAGGAGGAGGGGGTAAGCGTTCAGAACTTGATATGTTGGGTACTGTTCCTCTTTGATGCATTGGAGCAGCTCCTGTTGAGCTCAGTCTTGACCTGTGATGGTGGTGGTGCATTGGTTGAGATGATGAAGTAGGATATACACTAGTGGTGGAGGCTCGTGGTCTGTGAGCAGCAGTAGAGGAGGAGGAGGGATACTGTGATTGGTAATGGTGGTGTGCTGGTGGTTCAACTATTAGAGAGAGAGAGAAGAAGAGAGAGAGCTGATAGTAAATTGTGAAGTTGGGGCTAGCCTGAGTGAGCCTCACTCAACAACACCCTTTTGTTGTATCAGAAAAATTATAAAAATGGAGAATTTTCTCCTGAGGTTCAATTAGCAAGTGTCTTTAGCAATAAAATGAATATAGATCTAAATTAAAAGAATTAATTACAGAGAAACAAATAATTTTTTGCTTTCCACCATAATGTTAAGCTAATAATAATTAGTGTTGCAAAATAACAAAATATGCAAAAAAAGTTTAAATACAATGTTACACACATAGTGGTCAAACTTGCATGTCTGATATGTACTTGCAGATAATTATCACAGAATCATTGCCGTGTTTCATGTAGGTACATCTTTATTTCATCATGGGTTTCATGACGGTATACATTCTTCGTATAATGCTTGAACATAGATTGTCTTCCTATTCTTTTGATTTCCAATTGCTGAAGTGATCGGAATGGTGTGCAGTAGAATAACTCCTCTATTGCCGTTGTATCAGGTGACTCAGGTGTTGTATCAGGTGACTCTTCAGAATAGTCACACACTATCCTCATTATTTTGATGGTTCTGTGTGATTGTAGCATCTTAAATACATCAGGTAGTGTTTCTTCGTAGAAAAAAGTTTTCATTATTTTCTTTTCATCATTTGCAATGTCATATGTCTGATCTAGTTGGAAACAAACTTCCAGTTCTGTAATATTATGTTTTTTAGTGATAACATTTAAGAATTTTTTTACTTGTTTGTCAGTAATAGGAAGGTAAACAGGCATACTCAAGTGTTGCAGGCCAAAGTTATACGTGATACCACTAGTTACGTTAGACATGTATGAACTAGCACTCATGCATTTTTTATAATTAGTGTTGTCTGAGTCACTTTTGCACTGGTAGGCTCCATAATGTCTACCGATACTACAGATTGTATAGACACTTCCTTTCTCAACTTCCACTCTCAGAGCTTTAAGAGTGGTGTTGGACTGTAAAATAGTGAAGAGCTCATTGATACTCTCAGCTGTGTCCAGTTGTATAGTAAGTTGTTGTAGATTAGGATGAGAGCCAAATATGAGACGTGGTGAGTATGGTATAGGTAGTATCAGACATTTTAATCCTTCGATAAAAGGAAGAAGTGAATTCATTAGTATACTATTTTTTTCTCCTATCTCTAGAGAAGTCAATCTTGACATTACTTTTATTCTATTCATTGGTAATGGAAAGTAATAATTGGGTATGTGAAGTGAAAGAGCTTGTAATGTATTATTGTCCTTTAGCAAGTTTTCTATAATATCCTTGCTTAGAGTAAAACAAAAAGGTGAAGAAGGAAGTTTCAATGCAAACGATGTTATTATTTTGTTTTGGGTTATTCCTTTAATAACACTTGCCACAAATGGTTCAAGAAGTTTGTTTGTTGAATCATGAATATGTATAATGATTTCTTGTAATTTTGAATTTTTTTCGATGCATTGTTCAAGTTCAAAACATTTAAAAATATAGGTTCTCTCATCAAGATTTGTTTCAATAATTCCAGGTACATTTAAGTATAGCATCTTGAGTTTTGGTAAAGTGACTAACTGTAATAATATCAGAACAAAGTCACAAGATTTCCGATTAAATGTAAATATTATTTCTTGAACATTATGCAATAGTGGTTTCCTAAGGAAATTTATTACCAAATTACTATCAGATATATTTTGAAAGTACACGTTTAGTTTCTTACACTGGCTTACTGATGACTTATCACTTAATCCAGCAGTCAATACTGATAGTGACTGTTCTCCTAATTCCCCCAAATCCAACTGATCCCATTCTGCATTATTTAAGAGATAACTGAAACACAACCAATCAAACAATGAAAGTCTTGTGACATCATCAATCTTACAATTAAGACACAGTGAGCAATTTTCAATAGAATGTGCAAATAATTGGCACAATGTTGTATTTTGAGATTCATAGACAAATTGAAGAAGTAAAACCTCCAGTTCCCCAAATCCGACACCTCTTAGATGATAACTGGGGACGGGCATGCTCAAATGTACAAACCAACAATGGTGACTGATTTCAAATTTTTTAAGTGGAGTCCTTTTGCATTGCAAATTAACTTTTTTGTCAAAATACTGTTGATAGCTCTCATTTTCAAGATGAGTTAGCCCAGCTACAAACCTCAGGCACATTCTAAAATGTTCATTGTCAAAAAAAGAATCAAAATTTTCTTCAGTGTTGCCATGCTTAGATATCCACCAAGCAGCTAAGAATTCCTGGATGCTTAAATGAATAAACTGATGCTTCTCCTCACCAAACTCTTCAAATTTTGTGAGCAATCCAAGATAGTTCTCCTTTGCTACTTCGACCACAGGCAAGTCTAGTAGACGTAATGAAAAGGTCATTTTTGTATCACTATCAGCAAGTGCAAGGGCAGAATAAGCTAAATAGCTGAGTTCTTTTAGAGCTATATCTAATGGTGATGGCAATTTTTCAAGACTGACTAACAATTCTGGATCAGTTCCATGTTTTCTTTCTATATGCCGTCGAATAGTTTGCAAGATAAAATTCTCATACAATTGAGTGAGTGTTGTTGGTAATTGTCTTCCTTCCTTACAATAGACTAAGATTACCATCGAACAAACCAATGGAATGTAACACAAAGACTGCACATCACCTCGTACCTTGAGTTCATTAATGAGATTTACTGCTAGTTGCGATTCATCATTACTTTGAGTAGTTTTAAAATATTCACTATTTGTGTTTTCATTGATAAGATTTTCTGCTAATTTTGAATCTTTTTGAAGAGTTTTAATAATTACTGTGGATAATTCCTCTGTAGAAAATCCAATGATCTGAACATGTTTACTAACATACGGCAATGTTTTTAAAAGTGATGCAGAGGCATAGCTACGAGAAGTAACAATCACTGAACAGTTTGCTAACTTATTTTTACAAATAATTTTAGCAACCAGGGATGATTTTTTGTGTCGCATACTTAACTCATCCCAACCATCAAAAATTATCAGCAGCCCTTTTCCATGTTCCTCTAAAACCCAATTCACTATTTTTGGTACAGTAGGACAGTCATAAATATACTGAAAAAGTTCTTCTAATTTTTTAGCTTGGGCTACCTTGCTATTTCTCAAAGGACAGTAAAGTACTAAGTCAAATAGGCAGGGAAGCACCCCATTTGACCACATGTTCAACAGTTTACGACAAAGTGTTGTTTTGCCTATCCCTGGAGGACCATCAATTACTATATTTTGAGAAGAAGTATCTTCAGTTTTTAATAAATCTTCAATTTTTATTTCATTGTTTCCAGTGAGGTAAGGAATTTTATCAACTTCACCTCTCAGCATGTGCCAATGTATTTGTAACTTAGCTCGTTTGATCAAATCCTGGGCTTCTATTAGTATCAATCTACCAAAGAAGTCTTTTCCAACTTGTGGTGGCCAGTCTGCAGCTATAATGGGTTGTAGATTATACCTCTGCCTCAATATCTCAGCATATTCTTGAAGATCAGATGGAAGAATGATTATGATTTCATCAGGTATAGTTTGACCTACAGTGATTATGAATTAA